GTTTATTAAAGGTTATTACTGAGAAGGTTTGCTCACATATAAGTGGCACCAAACAGCACAAGCTGCCTCGACAATGAATACATTGTATTAAACATTTCTTTTTGCAATGGAGATTTTGGAGGCCTGTTTCCAGTGCCTCAGAGAAAAAAGTTAAAAACAATTTTTTTTAAATAAATAGTCACATTATGAGAAAAAAATCACTTTGTGACAAGTCAAAAGTCACAGTGTGAGATATGCAGTCACATTTTGAGATAAAGTCAAACTGTCAGATATAAAATCACATTATGAGATACACAGTCACATTATTGTGAGATATGATGTCACATTACAATATATGCAGTCACATCTTGAAATATAATGTCACATTATGAGATATAAAGTCAAACTGTCAGATATAAAGTCATTTAGAGATATACAATCACACTGTGAGATATAAAGTCAAAAGTAACATTGTGAGATACAAACTCAAATATGAGATATGAAGTCACATCATGAGATAATCATGAGGTTGACATTTGGTGATTTGGATCATGAAATCTGGCAACTCTGAGTATTTTAAATGCTCATGAAAGCTATCTACAGTAAATGAAAAGTGTTTTCATAATAAATGATCTGCAGGCCTGATTAAACCGTATATGAATTCTGAATCCAGGCTCTGACTCATAGTTTGCAAATGTCTGCTTTAAGAGAATCAGTGTATCTGTATACAACTCGCTCTTCTTTGTTTTTCTTTCTGTGTGTGTATGTCTTTCCTTCTTTCTAAATCTCTCTGGAAGGAGGGGTGTTAGGGAGAGGGCACATAGGAGAAAAAATATTCTCTCCATAAACTTCTGACCTCTCTTCCCAACCCCCTCTCACCTCCCTTCATGGTCTCCATTACTCTATCTTTAACCCTGCTTCCTCCAACCCCCCCCCCCAAAAATCCCAAATCCCTCTGACAAAAAACTCTCACAGTCCATTTAATTTAAAGTGTATGTGTCCCTTAACCATCTCCCTTGTGGACACATTCTGCTGCTCTTTTACAGGAAGTTGTTGTTTAACTTTTGAGAAAGAAAGCAAGTGCCACTCTTTTTGCTCATGTTAACACCATTCAGAGCGAACCTCCTGGTATTTCCTTCTGCAAAAAAAATGTTTCTCTTATAGTCACGGCAGTGACAGAACAGGATCTGAGACACTTCTCAGCTATCTGATAGTAGCTGATTTCTGTCCATTGTGAACTGGCCTAGAAAATTAAAGGAGAAAAGAGGACATAAACAAAAGCAGACTTTATCATGTCTTGCATCAGCGTCGTACAACAATATCCGGGAAGAAAGGCGCAGATCTGTGAATGCATACGCAAACACAGACACATCCATATAGGGTTGGTTGGAGCACAGAAGGAATAAGACAAAACAATGGCAAAGCAAAACAAGCAGCGATAAAGATCCAGCATCCAGACGCCCTCATACTCCACGGCATATGCACACTAAAGAGGGAGAAAGATAAGACCAATCTCTTCTCTTCTCTTCTCTTCTCTTCTCTTCTCTTCTCTTCTCTTCTCTTCTCTTTCTTATACTTGATACTTCTCTATTTTAATTTGACTGTATCTGCTCTTTTGCTTTATTGTTAAAGGAATAGATCACCCAAAAATAAAAATGTGTCATCATTTAATCAGCCTCATGTTGTTCCAAACCTGTATGAGTTTCTATCTTATGTTGAACATAAAAGAAGATATTTTGAAGAATGCTGGTAATTAAACAGTTGTTGGACCCCATTGACTTCCATTTATTTCCCTACTATGGAAGTCAATGGGGACCAACAACTGTTCTTCAAAATTCCTCGAAATATCTTATTTTGTGTTCAACATAAGAAAGAAACTTATACAGGTTTGGAATGACATGAGGGTGAGCAAATGATGACAACATTTTCATTTTTGGGTGAACTATTCCTTTAACTCTCTTGTTAACTGCAGGCCCAGACAAAATCTGTGGAATTCACCATTAAACTGAGCTGATAGTACTAAACTCTTGGCAGCCAAAAGTAGAGATGCACTGATATTAAAATTCTAGCCAATACCAAAAATTATTTTCTTGTTAAGAGCGAAACCGACAAATGACTGCTAATAAAATGATATACTAATTAAATTATTTGTAATTATGTAATGTTATAGTAACATTACAGTATATGTAAAAAAGAATGCATGCACAATCCCCTATATCAGCTGAAACACAGTATATTTAATATTGACTGATAGACAGCTTTTTAAAAAATCTCTAATAATACAATAACCAATTTTACAATTATATTGTACATTCCCTGCTAAAACATCATTAATTAACTGCAATATGTAATAAACTATCACTCAAGGATGTGTAGAACTCTTAATGCTTTTGATATGCTGTAGGTAGCTACATTTTATTTCACAATTCTGTGTGCGAGAACCTGTTTTTAATAGAACATAATATGTAAACTAGAGTGAAAATGCAAGCTTATTTTCTTTTTCATCCAAGCTTTAAAAAGCTATAAATTACCCATCTAATGTTGCTAAAAGCATCCAAAATCCAGTATATTTATGACCATGTGTTTGCATTCATTTACATGGCATATGTGCTCTTAAAAGAGGCTTTCTTACAGGTTTGCGTGTGAGCAGAAGTGCACGGCCCGTAACTGTAGGGTAGACCCACTGGTTATTAAGAGTTAAGAAAGGGTAGGCAGTCATCCAGAGGCCTTGCTCTATTTATAGCCTCTAGACTGTGTGAAAGTACTCAGAACTCGTACAGAGCTGCCAAAATCCCTGAACTCACCCTCAGATTCCAGATTTTCAAATAGTTGTATCTCGGCCAAATATTGTCCTATCCTAACAAACCATACGGTTTTGTGGTCCAGGGTCACATTTAGAAGTGCGTCCAAGAAGAAGTTGTATGCAAATTGTTCTCTTTATTTAAATGAATTTATTTTTTTAATATTATATGCTTCATCTCAGGTTTTCTGTGTACATACTGCACATAGCAATGTGAGCATATTGTAACAAGAAAGTGTTAAATATTATAAAAAAAGAAATTCACCACAAAAATAATGAAAATGTTATCTAATGTGAAAAGCATTAGGGAGGAATTTTGATCCCTGTATATTTTACAGTTCATAACCGTATACCTCATTAAGCAACCTATATCAATTAACTAAAATCTGCTTTGGAGTGCAAAGTGCTTGCTGTCTTAAACTACTATGACAATATCACATACTTTGTCAAATACTGGTCATTTGTGCACTGATGAGCCAAAAAGAAGCCTTATAAAATTGTTAAAGCCCTAGATGTCACCATAAATTACATGTATTTGCCTAAAACCTCTGCAATCAGTGATGTTCACCAAAAATGATTTTCTTTTTATTACAAATAATAATGATATGTATGATTACTGGAATAAGCTTGGCCCAGGGGTTTCCCTTTATTTATTTATTTATTGATTGATTTGTTTGTTTGTAGATTATTTAGGAAACTCATCTGCATAACTCTACTTGCAGTTAAAGTTAGTGATTGCAATAGCAGTTTAATAGACAACAGACCAATTAGAACATAGTTTAGAGATACACATACAGTATATATTTTGAAAATATTTACATGCATATATTTATATTCATATAATTTATATTATATATAAATATATTTAAATATATTTTTCTTAAATATATACATGCATGTGTGTGTATTTAATTATATTTACTGTACATAATAAATACACAGTACACACACACACACACATATATATATATATTACGTAAAACAAAAACTTTTATTTTGGATGCGATTAATTGCGATTAATCGCTTGACAGCACCAATTGGAATACAAGGGACAACTGTGCTGAACTATTATATTTCTCACATGAAACAACAAGAAAAATATATCATTGAAATGGTGCATGGTAGTACTTCAAAGTGAGCGATGTCTGGATTGTGAACAAATCGAGTCAGATCTTTTCAATGAATCAGTTAACGAGCATTTGGGGTGAACTGAAGATTTGGCTAATTAGGTAAAAATGATTTTTCATAAAAATAAACATTTGTATTTCATTTAAATGGCTTATCAAGGCTGCAACGAACTTAAGTTAAACACACAGCAATGAAGGATCCTTATTAACAAATCTGAATTTTATTTAGATTTTATTTCAATATATATAAATTTAACTCAGTGTATGTGCCTAGTCAACACAAGGATGTCAGGAGCAACGTAATCTCGACATTATGTAAAATTATTTTGGATGCGATTAATTGCGATTAATCGCTTGACAGCACCAATATATCATTGAAATGGTGCATGGTAGTACTTCAAAGTGAGCGATGTCTGGATTGTGAACAAATCGAGTCAGATCTTTTCAATGAATCGGTTAACGAGCATTTGGGGTGAACTGAAGATTTGGCTAATTAGGTAAAAATGATTTTTCATAAAAATAAACATTTGTATTTAATTTAAATGGCTTATCAAGGCTGCAACGAACTTAAGTTCAACACACAGCAATGAAGGATCCTTATTAACAAATCTGAATTTTATTTAGATTTTATTTCAATATATATAAATTTAACTCAGTGTATGTGCCTAGTCAACACAAGGATGTCAGGAGCAACGTAATCTCGACATTATGTAAAAGAATCATTTGAAGAGGTTCTGTTCAAAAGAACCGATTCACGGAAATGACTCGGACTTCTCATCACTATGACGAACTGCTTGAGTCCAAAACTTTTTTTCTTTCTGTTCTCATCTTGCGCCCCTCCCTCACTGCGAACACGGACACTAAAGTCGTGACTGTCCACCGTCGACCCAGACCATACGACTCCACATTCCCTCTGTATGCAATAACAGAGAGTTTATATATGTATTTCGACCAGACTGTCACAACTTTCCAAGTTTCAAGGAATTTGGTTTAATGAAAGTATGCGCGCTCCCGCCGAAGCGCAGCATCAGCACCACTATCTCGCTCGCGCGCGCGCCCGCCTCCAGCGAGCGAGTCTATCGCCATCCCGGCCGAGAGAGTTCAAGTTGGCCGAAAGGACGGATAAACGATGCTGTTCTGTCCGGTGACGAGGAAAGGATAACATTTGATTTAATCATCTAACAGCGACTCCATCTCCCGGAGAGGATGGATGGAAAAATTCTTGCCCCAAGCCTTTTACTCTTTCTCGCCTTTCAGCATTGCTCGTCACGTAAGTCAAACCGCAGATGCAAAACGCAGTGCAAATACAGTGTTTCTTATTTGCTATAAACGTGACTGTTATTCTCTATCAGGACAGGTGCATCAGTAAAGCTATGACATAATGATTCTGATCTCAAAATTGCGAATTTTAAGCTTGTATTGTCTTAAATCAGCGCGAAATTGTAAAAATTGTTGCTAATCCATATTTAGATGAATAAGTCATGAGGGTTTCGGCTGAAAGTAAAGCACCGATGTAGTCCTGAGTCCGGGCTCGCGACTTTGCCTGCTGTGTCTATGGGCTCTTTCTGCATTGCAGTGCTTCTGCGCGCTCACTTGGGCAAGTTTCTGCATGGAAAGGTGCGCCTTGCGCAGGGGACACGCGGGAAGGACACACCGTCCTGCTGTTAAACAGAGACACTTGAAAGCATGTATGCGCGGAATTAACCGTGTCTTTAGTTTATTACTGGGGGGGGGGGGAGTTGAGATTGTCGGTGTATTTGAAATGGCGTGGCTCGTATTGCGTGAAGTTGCTTGTGGGAGCAGCCCTATGCGGAGACAGAGGGCGGGCGCATTAACTCGCCGAACTCCCAAATTCACGTGACGTAGAACACTGCATGCGAATCCTCACGTAAGGTTACCTTCAAGACAGCGTTTAAGTCCTCAAACCACAAAATATGTCCTAACACAATCAGTATTCTATTCTATGATTTAATGAATCTCCACAAAACACCACAGTTAGGTTGTTAGTTTGGTGCAGCAAGAAAGCTTGTGATATTTTATTTTGTATGCACTTAAAATGATTTCGATTGTGTTGTCATTCTATAATTAAGGGTGCATTTCATGTATATCGACGATCATTTTTTCCAAGCAATTTTCTCATATTTCATCTAGCAAGAGAACGCATATTATATCTCACACCAATAGCACTCGGTTTCAGTTTGCTTAAAATGACCCTGTTGTCCTTTAAATTACAGTTCTTGCCGTGTCCGTTTTTAAATGAGTGAGTCTGGAGTTGCAAATTGATGAAAGAAGTTACAGTTAACATTATTTGTTATATTTCTAAGGTCTAAATGCTACATTTTAACATTTAAAACTGAGTTTACATTTAATTTTCTTAAAGTATGTAATTTTTCTTATGTCAGCATAAGTTCTGACAAAGTCCTGTGTGGATATCCTTGTTTATATATCAGCTCTAATATTACACTTGCTAATATTAATTAGTGACTGTTTTTCAACAATGTATCTTGAAACAATGAGGTTTTGTGAAATCCCAAAAGTGGGCTTTTGCTAGGCTCCCATTTCACTACTTTGACAACAATGAGAGCTTCAGTATGACGTATTGTGTAAAGAAGATAATCCAGGCAGCACTGAGCAGGGAAATGAGACCGAACAAGCAGTGTATTTGGCATAAATCTTTGGAAGGGAGTGGAAACTATCCAAACTGAAAACGGGTACTCTGTCGACACAGAAAAACTCCTTGAAAATGACTTTTTTTAATTGAGATTGAAGATGCCATGTCTGTCTGTAGGCTGATTTTAGGGAGCGTGGTTGGTGAGATAATGATAGAGAGTATAAATGTTGCATTTTGGATTTGAAACTACAGATAAGATCCAAAATAGAGGAAGGTGTGAAAGATTCAGGGAACAGGTTTGTGTGTATTTTTAGTCTGTGTCAAGTGGGTGTGTGCGCTATGTAGAAAGATGTGCTGCGTGCGGTGTCTTAGATTGATTCAGTATTTTGAAGTCCTTTTTGAGCTTAGCTATTATTTCATTCAAAGACTGCCACCTACTGTGCTGCAAGTCCTGTTATGAATAATTCATACCAACGTGACCCCCCTGGTTTCTATTCACCATGCTAAAAAATGTAACCACAGCCTCTACACCTAGCAATCTTAGTCTAGACCTATGTGTACTGCGGCCTCCTCCCAGTGATGAAAGATTGCTGTGTGATATGCACTCGATTCTCCTAGAGCTAAGTGCTGCGTCAGCCTGCAGAGAGCGGGGGAGTGCCTGTAATTCAACATATGTGTTACAGAGACAGAAAGAGAGAGAGAGAGCGAGAGCGAGAGAGAGAGCGTTCAAGGAGCCGCTTCACGTGTGTCACTGTTCTCTCTTATCTTTGAGTGGAGAGCAGCTAAGTTCTTTGGAGGGAAAGAGGTGAAGGAACAACTGAGAGAGAAAAAAAATAACATCACAAGGGAGTGAAATGGAACAGTTTAAAATTTCAACAAGGCATTTTGCAAAAATTAGAAACACCACTTTGTGAGCACAGATTTAGTTAGAGGGAGCAAGAGACGGATGACTTATAGGTCATCAAGAGTTAAAGGGATAGTTCACCCAAAAATGAAAATTCTGTCATTAATTACTCATCCTCATGTCGTTCCGAACCTGTAAGAGCTTCGTTCATCTTTGGTACACAAATTAAGATATTTTTGATGAAATCTGAGAGTTTTCTGACCCTCCCATAGACAGCAACACAACTGAAATGTTCCCGGACCCGAACATAGCAAATAAAATAGTCCATGTGACATGAGTGGCTCAACTTCAATTTTGAGATGCTACGAGAATACTTTTTGTGCGCAAAGAAATGAGTTAACGTTTATTAGACCCGACAAAGACACACCGAACAGAACAGAACAGAACAGAACTAAATACACAAGCAAATGAGGATAATTGATAAGACACAGGTAAACAAAATGACAATCAGACATGAGGGAAAACTGGGTCAAGGAACACATGAGGGATGAAAACACAACAAAAAAGTCCATGGGTGTGATACAATGTAAGACTCTGATAGCCCCTCTCTTTCCACTATGTAAGAAAAGCTGAGACAGTTGAGTGTCCAACTTTCCACATTCCACTTTTTTTTGCCTAATCCTATAAAGCCTGTACTGTATCATGTTTGATCATGTTTATTCATGTTTTTGCTATAAGGTCCTTAATGGTTTTTATGAAGTAAATACAAGAATAACTTTTATATTGTTAGTAATATTTTAAGATAAATACTTACTGGACTGAAGCAGCTAGGTTTACTTGATTATCCATACATAGTTTTTAGAAAAATCATGTAAAAATGTGAGTATGATACATCATCTCTTATTTTTATCGCATTGCATTGCATTATTTGTTTTGCCCCACAGAGCTAATATATATATTAGTGCTGTCAAATGATTAATTGCATCCAAAATAAAGTTTTTGTTTGCATAATATATGCTTGTTTTCTGTGTATATTTATTATGTATATATAAATACACACACAT